TTATATTTTTTTTGTTTTTTTGTTTTTTGTGATAGACCTCAAGATTTGCCACAAACTAGCCTCCACTGTGTGCCCATGAATGACAGCCCAAAAAGACCACGTAATCTTTCCGGATCGAAGCAGAAAGCCTGAAGTTTGCGTTCTGATGGGGCTGTGGTAAGTGTTATCATTGTATACAAGTGACTGAACCCTATTCATGTCTTTTTTCATTTACATATTTATGTATGATAAAGTTTAATTGATAAATTATGCAAAATAAGTCTAGAATTAGCACTTTTTCACTGATACGAAGAATTTCATGGTTTCTCTTAGGCTTTGAAAAATGCCAGCATCACTACTTTTGCACTTTGGGGCCATTATTAAGCAATATTAAGGGTTATTTTTGGGTCACAGTAAACCATGGGTAACTGAAACAGCAGATACCAAATCTGTGGATACAGAGGGTCTACTGTATACATATTAAAAACGAGTGACATATTTGTAAGTCACTCTGACTTGTATAGGGATAGACATTGTATGCATTTTAGTTTGGACACTCTTAATTTACTGTGAAGAATGCCATCTAATGTAGGCACTGTAAAATAACATTTGGTGAAAGTGACATTACTGTAGTTAAGTTTGCTAATAAGAAATTTTAACATTGGAAATGTCTTTTTGGTGTGCTTATTCAAATTGTTTTTTTTACAGTACTGTAAATGCATTACATATTCACCTTGTACTATATCAAAATTGCTACATAATATTCTGTGAAGCTCTTATATGAGCAGTGTTTTTGATGACTCTTAAGCTAACAAATATTTAAATGAGTTATGTTAATTGTAATCAGCAATTCGCTTGTATAATGTTGATGTGAATTTTAAGCAAACAGTCAAGGAAGCCAAGCATGGCATATGCCCAGGCTGAGCTTGATTGTTGATTAGGTTTCTGAGATCGTTACTAAGTAGAGTTGTATGTATTTGCTCTGAAGATCATTAAATTGCATATCAATTATAATACTGTTTTGTTTCCTCTATTATTTACACCACATATTTACATTACATATTTATTTTAATACTACAGAAAATATTAGCATGGATCATTGTTTTAGCTTGCTGGAGACACATCAAGTGGTTCAGTCAAACTGGAAGTTGTTGAGGGCGCTGATACTCCCTCAGGTACCTCTACTACCTCTGAGCCTCGCCCAAATTATCGCTCTTCCCGCCCCAGCCGGCCATTGATCGTAAACTTGTAGAAGATTTTCTCAGTGGAGAATATTGCCTCCATGGTGTGAGTGTAATTTTCTGTTAATTACTGAATAATTCTTTCTTTTTATCATTTTTTAATGTACTGGCCATTTCCCACCGAGGCAGGATGACAAGACAAAGAAAACACTTTCACCATCATTAACTCTTGCCAGAGGTGAGAAGATACGACATTTCAGATGTCCCTCCAAACGGTAAATATCCCGAACCCCTCCTTTAGAGTGTAGGCACTGTACTTCACCCCATTCTAATCAGAAACTAAGTACCATCTATTCCAAGGCACTGTATGACTTGTGCAGGTTAGTGCTGTCCCATAATACTGTAATAAAATAATAATAATAATAATAATAATAATAATAATAATAATAATAATAATAATCATCCTTTTTATTTTTACCATTCTATATTTATCAGTAAATAGAATTAGTGTTGGATATTGTTACTATGGTGAGCAGCACCCTTTTGTCTGCAACAAATAAACTTGCAATTTTTTTTGCAGAATGCAAAAATTTCAACTTTAAATTTTGTTTTGTCTGCATGTAAAAGAAGAAATTAAAAGTGAACATAGGAAAGAGCAAGGCAATGAGAGAAAAAAAATAGGTAATGAAAGATTAGAGTGAGATTAATTAAGTTGAGAGTGTAAAAATTTTAGGGAATAAGCCTGTTGAATATACTTGGTAAGGTCTATGGCCTGGTGGCAGAAGCTCTCACTTCACACATTGAGGACCCGGGTCCAATTCCAGTGAAGGGGTGGACATTGGATGTGTTTCCTTACACTGGTTGTCTATGTTCACCCATCAGTAAAATAGGTTCCTGGGTGTTAGTCGACTGGTGTGGGTCGCATCCTGGGACAAAACTGACCCAATTTGCCCAAAATGCTCTGCATAACAAGCAGCTTTCTATATAGTACATCACTGATGTAAGCTAGGCCTGTATACCATGTACTTGTAGAAATATAGATATTATTATTATTATAAAGAATTAACAGCAAGTTGGAGAGCAGGATCGCAGATGAACAAGGAGGATTTAGGAAGGGTAAGGGGTGTGTACATGAAGTGTTTACAGTGAAGTATATAGACAAACAGTATTTAGATAAGGGTAAAGAGATTTTAGTTGCATATATGGAGTTGGAAGAGCATATGGTAGGGTGGATAGGGTAGCAATGTGGCTGATGTTGCAAGTGTAAGGATTAGGGGGTAGGTTATGAGGACAGCAAGGCACAGGTTAGAGTATGTTGGAGGGAGATTATTTCCCAGTAAAAGTAGGCCTTGGACAAGGATGCATGATGTCACATGGTTATTCAATATATTTATAGATGGTGTTGTTAGAGAAGTGAATGCTCGAATAATAACTTTTTGCTGATGACACTGTGCTTTTTGGGAGATTCTAAAAAGAAGTTGCAGAGGCTGGTGGACAAGTTTGAAGGTATGTAACAGAAGGAAATTAAAAGTGAACATAGGAAAGAGCAAGGTGATGAGGATAAAAAATCTAGGTAATGAAAGATTAGATATCAGATTGGAGGAGAGGGTATGGAGGAAGTGAATCTATTCAGATAATTGGGAGTAATCTTGTCAGCAGATAGGTCTGTGAAAGACGAAGTGAATCATAGGATTGATGAGTGGAAAAAGGTGAGTGGTACACTCAGGAGTCATTGGAGACAAAGAATGTTATCCATGGAAGGAAAGGGGGGGAAGAATGTACGAGAGTGTAGTGGTACCAATGCTCTTATATCAGTGTGAAGCATGGGTGATGAATGTTGCAACAAGGAGGCTGGAGGGAGTGGTGATGTTGTCTAAGGGTAATGTGTGGTGTGAATATTATGCAGAGAATGGTGTGGGGCTTCTAAAAGTATTATCTAAAGGGGTGAAAAAAGGTTGAGGTGGTTCAGACATTTAGAAAAGATGGAATGAAATATAACTTGGAGGGTGTACAGTATAAATCTGTAGTGGAAAGAAGGTAGGGTAGGGGTCAGCCTAGGAAAGATTTGGAGGGAGGGGGTAAAGGAGGTTTTGTGTGGAAGGGCTTGGACTTCCAGGAAGCGTGCTTGATAAATGTTAGGTAGGAGCGAGTGACTGCAAATAATTTTTATGACGATGTGCTGTTGGAGTATGAGGAATGTAACATTTATGAAGGAAATTCGGATAAACTGGTTAGCTGAACTTAGAGTCCTAGAGGTGGAGGAAGTACAGTGGGAAGGAGAGATGTTGATATGTTGCAGTGTCTCTGGCAAGACAGTGATGAAGTGAGTGATGGTGAAAGTGTTTCTTCTTTTGGGTCACCCTGCTTGGTGGAGAAGGTTGGTGTATTTAAAAAAAAAATTGTTTTAGCATGCTAACTGCATGATTTTTAGACATGGTATGTTAGATGTCCTAAGTAGTAGGTTGGTAGACTGCAACTGCCCAGGGGAGATACTACTACCATCCTACCAAGTGAGTGTAAAATGAAAGCCTGTAATTGTTTTACATGATGCTAGGCTTACTGGTGTCTTTTTTTCTGTCTCATCAAGCAGCATTAATACAATATCATACGTCTGGGCAAACTCTAAATAGTTCACATTGTTGCCTAACATCCTTGGTGAAAGTTTCAGTACAATACAGTATGTATATGCTATTAAATATTTGGTAAAAACAAAATAAAACTGGAAAATTGGAGTTAAATAAATTTAAAGGTGTGTGTGTGTGTGTGTGTGTGTGTGTGTGTGTGGAGGGGGGGGGCAGCATGTTAAAAAAATAAAATAGCATATGATAACTTGATCATACATGACCATTAATCATTACTTTTTCATCTGACTTATACCAGGGCTCCGGATGGTGGAAGTACGAATTTTGTTATGGGCGCAAGGTTGAACAGTACCATGAGGACCGGGAAGGATACAAGATCATCATCCTCTTGGGCGCTTTTAACTTAGAAGAGCACAGAAAGTGGGTGGAAAAGGTAAATAGGTGTTTTGGATAGCTAGTTTGAACCCAATACAAATGGCATTGGTAGAATAAAAGTTAGCATCCATCCTGGGCCAGGGTTGACAGTTCTGTATTTGTATATTTAACCCGTAAACGGTCCAAATGTATATATACGTTTTTTCAACATTTGAAAGTATGTAAAAAAAGTAGATCTTCTTTTTGTTTTTTTATATTTGAAAATGTGTAAAAAACTTTGATCTACTTTTTTTTTTTTTTTGTTATACGTATTTGAAAATGTGTAAAAAAAAAAAGTAGATCTACTTTTGTAGCACTACACATGTGAACGTAGATCTGCTTGGACCATTTATGGGTTAAGGACGACAACAGCCTGAGGTATCACTGTCAAGGGTCACTCTGCTGTTTACTTCCTGTCAAGTGAAGCACTTGTTCAGGTTCTTCATTTAATGAAGGAATAAATTTGTACAGTAATATACAGCACTATTAAAGCAGATTTAGAATCCAACAGTGTTGGAGGATGGATGTTCTGTACTAATATTATAACATCATAATCTTGGGTAATGTAACACTCGCAAGAAAGAAGAAAGATTTTGGCATTGGAAAACCAGTGAGAACATTCTGAGTGAAATACAGTGGACCCCCGCTTTACGATCAGCTCCCAATGCGACCAGTTATGTAAGTGTATTTATGTAAGTGCGTTTGTACATGTATGTTTGGGGGTCTGAAATGGACTAATCTACTTCACAATATTCCTTATGGGAACAAATTCGTTCAGTACTGGCACCTGAACATACTTCTGGAATGAAATAATATCGTAAACCGGGGGTCCACTGTACTAGGGTTATTTTTCTGTGTAATGTTTACTTGTGCTCACCCGTACACATAATGTTCACCAGGAAAATACTGAGAATAATGCAGGCTATTCACAGAGGAAAGTAAACACACAGTTGTATCATATGAATTTGGGTTTGTAATGGTCATATTTGTTATGAGATATAAAATTTTAAGTGTTGTGTGTGCAATATACAACATGGTCTTTCCTGTGTTGATAGCCAGGAATTGCATCTGACATTTCTTAAACTGAGAGTCAAACTAATAACTTGATCACTGCAAATGTTTTCCTAAAATAGACCTAATCATCATCATGGATGGTTTGTATAGTGTGCATGTAATAATGACTACCTGCAGTACTGTACTGTGTGAAAATAAGTCCTCTAAGTTTTGTAATGTTGTCTTTCCATAATATTAGATGGGTGGGGGTATTGCAGTTTAGAAGGTCAATTGAATTGTAATATCTGTATACTTCTGGAAAGTCAGCTAGAGAATGAGTGATGGTTAATGTCCTTCTTCGTTTGGATGCCCTGCCTTGGTGAGAAACTACCATTTTAAGAGTACCTTGTCAGCTAAAGGATAGAGGAGGAACTTGGGTACTTTCAATTAATATAAACTTTTAGCGTGATCATTTGACTTTCAACACATCAATGTGTGGTGTGAATATAATGCAGAGAATTTGTAGTTTGGAAGTTAGGAGGAGGTGCGGGATTACCAAAACTGTTGTCCAGAGGGCTGAGGAAGGGTTGTTGAGGTGGTTCGGACATGTAGAGAGAATGGAGCGAAACAGAATGACTTCAAGAGTGTATCAGTCTGTAGTGGAAGGAAGGTGGGGTAGGGGTCGGCCTAGGAAAGGTTGGAGGGAGGGGGTAAAGGAGGTTTTGTGTGCGAGGGGCTTGGACTTCCAGCAGGCATGCATGAGCGTGTTTGATAGGAGTGAATGGAGACAAATGGTTTTTTAATACTTGACGTGCTGTTGGAGTGTGAGCAAAGTAACATTTATGAAGGATTCAGGGAAACACGGCAGGCCGGACTTGAGTCCTGGAGATGGAAGTACAGTGCCTGCACTCTGAAGGAGGGTGTTAATGTTGCAGTTTAGAAACTGTAGTGTAAAGCACAAACCCACTTTTTTTTCTTTTTTTTTTCCCCCCCCCCCCCCCCATTTTTTCTTTTTCGTTGTGGGGGGGTGGGGGGGTTGTTTGTGCCGCCCCCCCCCCCCCCCCCCCCCCCCCCCTTTTGGGGCCCCCCCACCCCCCTTGTGCCCCTCCCCCCCCCCCCCCCCCCCCCCCCCCCCCCCCCCCCCCCCAACAGTGGGGGGCCCCCCCCCCCCCCCCGGGGGGGGCCCCCCGTGCCGGCGAACGAATAAAGAATGTCTTTCTAATATCGGAGTGACCATTATAAATGGAAGGATTGTGGAGATTCATGAGAGGTACATAGTAGCGAAGGCAATGGGCATCACGGCGATCAGACAGAAGGTTGGAACATTCGCTTCTGCATGAGAGGCTCTCGACAGGGGAGTAGCGGAAAAGCACCAAGGCACACACGTAATCCTTGGTGATGGATAGCGTTAAGGCTAGAGATGAGTAGCAGGAGAGGCCGCGGAATAAATCTGCGTCACCATAATCGAGTTTCGATAAACGGAGGGTTAGAATGTAGGCGACAGCAGAGTTCGGACGATCAGTCCCAGGGAAAGATAGAGCCAAGGGTTTTAAGAAGTTTAGCCGGCTGTGACAAGTTGCCTTTCAGAGAGGTATGTGCGGTCTTCCAGGTTAACCCTACGGTCAAAGAGAAGGCCTAGAACCTGAAACGGTATCACGTTCGGGGATACGGGGCCATAGAGATACAAAGGTTGATCGGAGATGACAGAGCGTCTAGTGAAAAGTAATTTGGTGGAGTTTTGGTACTTGAAAATTTAAACATGGTGGTGGCCAAGTGGCGTACACGGTCAACCGCATGCTGGAGAGAAACTGCAATGAGATGACAGTCAGCGCCTGCCAACAAGAATAGCCGTAGTCATCAACATAGAATGATGACCAAATATTGGGTGGAAGAACAGAGGTCCAAAATCAATTATAGCAAGTGAGAAAAGTGTTGTTTTTATTGTTAGAACACACCCTGAGGGACCACCTTCAGCTTGGACGAAGTCTGGGGAAAGGAAAATTATTGACTCGGAACACGGAAATGTCTGTCAGTTAGAAGTTCTTAAGGAAGGATGGTGATTGCCCTCGGAGGCCTATGGAAGTGGGCCCTGCGGCCTAAATATTATACCTCCAGTTGTGTCATATGCCTTCTCAAGGTCAAAAATATGGCAATAACTGAGTGATTATTCGCAAGGCATACGAACATCCCGTATTCCAAGCGTAGTAAGGGGTCTAGGTAGAACGACCCCTACGAAAGCAATATTGACTTGCGGAGAGACTGTTGTGTGTCTCATAAATACCACATTAAAAACGTCGAATTTACGAGACGTTCCATCACTTTGCAACTGCACTAGAAAGAGAAATGGGACGATAGGCGGAGGCATCATGTCCTGTAGTACCCGGTTACGGAAAGGAGAAAACAATTGGCAGATTTCCACAGCTGGGGAAGAATCTTTGTGCCCATAAATAAGATTGAAAGAGGTGTAGTGGACTTACAAGGCTGACGATGAAATGTTTGTAACATACGAATATGAAATGTCGTCAGGCCCAGCTGCGATGATCGGCAAGCTGAGAAGCGTTGCCTCTAGTTCTTGAAGTTAAACAGGCACATTATACTGTTCTTCTCTGAGGAAGAAAAGTCCAGGGTACTAACTCTCTGGCAGACTTGAGGAAAGAAACGAGGGGCATAGATGGAGCCCCGGGAACTCACGGACAGATGTGTACCAAGTTCAAAGGCACGTCGAGAGGGTTTGCTTCATCAACACCCGGACCCGTAGAACAGTGAGCCGGGTCAGGAGAGTATTTACACTCAATTCTCACTTTTTTCCAGACTGCACTCATAGAACGAAGCAGAGGTGATGGTGGAAACATAGTCTCGCCAACAAGATGCGTTTAGCTTCACGGATGACCACGGCGAGCGATCGCACGCTTCTGCTTAAAATCAGAGTCTCTCAGCGGTTTATTGTACCGGTACCTGCCCTGCAGCGGTTTCAAACGTATGCACGAGCACAAGCAGGAGACCACCAAGGCACGCACTTCTGGATTTGCCTGCTGAGGTTGGGTATAGAATGGAGAAGCTGTGGTAGAAACTGAGTCGAGAAGAGGTGTAGGAGCTCATTCCAATGGAGGATGGAAGAAGGAAACCTCACTAAAAGCAATGAGGTGTGAGTAAAGATCCCAATTTGCCCGATCAAATTGCCAGCGAGGGCTACGGAAAGGTGGTGGAATAGGAAGGAGAAGTACGAATGAATTGGAAAATGATTGCTGTCATGTAAGTCCAGTAAACAGACCAGGTGAAGTCTAGTGCTGTGGCGGAAGAGCAGACTGATAAACGATGCAAGAGAGAGTATGAGTATGAGGATCAAAATGGGTGCGGAGTACCCGTATTTAAAAATGGAGGGGGTGATGAGGCGAGAAACTGCCTCCAACTGGATGCCACGTGAGCACAATGAGACCCAGAGGAATGGTGGCGTTAAAATCACCAAGTAACAGAAGTGGTGGTGTAAGGATAAACAGAAAGGCAAAGTCTGGGATAGAAATGCTCGAGAAGGAGATGAGATATAAAGAACATATTGTAAACCACTTATTTCAAGTGGATACAGGGGCTGCAGTGTACTGCAGCGAGGTTATGGAAGATAGTTGACAGTACGAATATCATTGTGAGAAGAAGGGCACTTTCATAAAGGTCCCATCTGAGAAAGGGATCGAAGAATACAATAAATTATAGCCTGAGAGTAGGTTGGAAACAGCCGAGGTGTAATTTAGGATTCCTGTAAGCAAGCACACCAACAGGGGAAAACCTGCGAAAGCAACATCTGAAGCTCACCCCCGATTACCCTGAGGCCGCGATATTTCCACTGTAAATAAGGCCATGATTGGCGATGAAGAAAATACAGGAATCCGTAGGGATAAGGCACCTACGTCTAGAGGGGTAAGAAAAGTCAACGTGTGGTGGCATTGGAAGAACAACCCTTCAAGCAGCGAAGGAGGAGCGTTGCCGAAGAAATGGGGTTGTGAAGATGAGGAGAGGGAAGAGAAGGAACAGGAGGAATCAGTGTCCATTGAAGGTTTAATCTCTGCAATTATTGAAATGGCTTCAAGGTTTCTGAATTCAAAGATGGATGGAGACCATATTGGAGATAGAAGGAGGAGGTGAGATAAAGATTGGGACAGGAATGACTGTACCAAAGTAGAGGGGGAGGGGAAGAGTGTAGGGCTGGAGATGGAGTGTGGGGGGACAGAGAGGCAGAACCTGGGAGGTGGCATTGGGAGGGAGGAATACTTGGGAGGGGGACGGGGGTGGTAGGCATAGTACATGGAGGAGGGGGTCGAATCTCCACACTGGTAATAAAGCCGGAGAGAGGGAATGAACTAGGTACAGAGACTGGAAAGGTAAAGTGTGGAGGTGGAAGAAGGGAAGGAAGGGGCAAAGAAGATTTGAAGCAATGTGGATTTTTTGGACTTCTGGTAGAGGGGCGATTGGTAGTAGGTGTCGTACGACGGTTTGTCGATATGGGGCTTGTGAGGAACGGACGCGAAGATGTGAGAACAGACTTGAGTTGTAGGTCGGGCTCCGTCAGAGCCATGGACGCAAAAGGATTAGATGCCGGAGTGGCTATGGGAGGGGGTAACAACAGAGGAAGGCTGAGAAGATAGGACCAGAAGTGGGCGGGATGTTTTGAAACACGAGAATAAGAAACACAGGGTAGTCCTCCCTTGGAGGCGGAGATGAGTAACTGTCATAGCATAAGGGAGACCTTCTGCCTCTTTGAGGCAACGGATTTCACGTTCATTTAAGTATGCACCTGGCAACAGAGGGAGTACGAAGGGTGAGCTTCATTACAATAAGCAGATGGAGGTTGACTGACAAGATGTTTTAGAATGGTCGTCGGCACCCCAGACTGGGGCATTCGGGCCAAGATCTGCTATATTTCGCTGGGTGACCAAAAACGCCAGCAATTTCTACACGGTTGCGGTGTAGGTATCACCTTTCGAACTTGTACCCTGATGGTCCCGCGACTTATACAGAGGACGGGTGTACTCGGACTGTCAAAAGTTAAACGAGCCACATTGCAAGGGTAACGTCTCTGACCACGGGCAGGAAGGACATAAGTGGTTCTCACTTTGAGGATTGGGAGATCCTGGAGTTCCAGTGTTCACGATGTCCTTGCCACATGACGGGGAAATTCTGTTGACTATGTATGGGGCAGAATGACAGTACTCTACAAGAATAGAGAGAAGTGTTTTTCAATAGTGATAGGAGTAGTATCAATATTCGAAGGAGTGAAAGATCATGAGCTTCGGGTAGCATTCTGGACAGTGACGATGTGCATACTGCTCTTGAGAGCATGAAATGAATATCTCTCCCAACATGACGCAGGAGGCTTGCCATACTATGGTCCGAAAGGTAGGCGAAGAAGAAGTCGGTCTTAAAGTAAAGAGATTTAGTCAATTGTGTGCGTCCGAACTGGCGTGGAGAGGAGTGCCTTGACGTGTTCGGCTTTTCCGAGTAGAAATGGGAAGGTAATGAAGGAGCATCAATCAGGAGATTGACGTTGGCGTTTAGGAGCAGGGACCGGAGTTGGTCCGGCGTGAAATGGGCGGCAATTCGAAAATTGCCGTTCCGTAGAGGGAGAAGCCGGACGCATAGTCAAAGGAGAGCGGAGTTCAGACAATTCGAAGGAGTCAGGCGAAGCCCGGTACCTGAAGCGGGTGAGGAAGAAACAGCACAGCAGAGGTACAGGGCATCAGGAGTGTTCCGAAGGGTGCGGTCTTAACACAAGAGGGTCAGGAATGGGGTGCGGTATCAAGAGGGGCCAGTGGGTAGTGGGTTCAATGGATAGGGTTCCCATGGTTAGGGTTACTCCTTTGCTTTTTGTTTTTAAGTAAAAAAAAAGAAAGAAGAAAGAAAATAAAAATAAGAAAAAAAACAATAAAAAAACGGGGGAACGGGGGGAATAGTTCCCAGGAGGAATGGAAAGGGCCAGAAATCTCCCTCCGCACCCAAGAGGACCCTCAGCTCCGCTAGTAGTGCCAGATGCGCATGAAACCCGTGCCATACCCTACCTTCATGCCAGTAAACAGAATCCGGTGATAGCTACCTCAACATCTGCCGAGCTACCTCGGTGGACAAACGGGAGGGCAGGCGATATCTGCCACAAAGCATCCCTCCTTCAGCCACACCCCCGGAATCCGGAAGGTTGGCGTTCCAGAGTACACCCGTCGCCTGAAGACACCCAAAGCTTACTCTGGATTACCGGAGAGAGGTAGCGGGAATCCCCAGGCGATCCAGGATCCACAGCAAACTACGCCACCGTCAAGAACCGCAACGGAATGGGATGGACCCCGGTATCTTTCCTCTACCTAGGAAAACAGCGCACCTGTGGGAGAAATCCCAAGGACAAAAAAGAGGAAGGGCAAATAGGGAGGGAGTGGGGAGGTGGGAGGAGGAAAGAAAAAGGGGAGGATGGGATAGGGGAGGAGAGTTGGGGGGTAATTAGCGTTCGGTCTGAGGAAGACGCCCGACAGGTCTAATTCCTCAGACCAAGCGCCTCTTCACCCACGCCAGGAGCCCCCCTTGAAGAGGTGTCTCAGTGCGATAGGAGCATCCCAAGTATTATAAAAATTAACCCATGCTAGTATAGGATTCGTGCATCCAGGACCTGAAGCTACCCTCCTTATTCTCTTTGAATCTGAATGCCTTCAATTTCCAGGGTACTTATTGAGAACTTTGTTCAGTGCTTCACTAATTAAACAGTGTTGCCAAACCCATGATAGTCAGACAGTACTGCAATAATTATAATCTTAATTGAAGCACTAACCCTTAAGGTGGGGTCACACAGCGCTATACTGCGCAACAGAGGAAGCATCACTATATTCATGAAGATGCACCAAACTTAAGTCAGGGAATAGTGATCACCCTTAATTCGTACCTTGACCCCACGTAGGCTTTGTCAAGGTAAATGAAGTAAGTAGGCACTTTCTTAGAAAATATTTGATTACCTCACACTCTCCTCCTTCCTTTCCAAGATGACCCCTGCAGTTTAGTGCCTCTTCATAAATATAACCACCATTAATGTAGTAAACCCATGGAATACTTAAAATGTTTTTAAGGGAAAATTAAGGCCAATAAGGTTTAATCAGCCGGCAGAATGCGGATTTACAAACAACACTTGTCAGTTGTTCTTCCTGGAGAGGTGTCAGGGCAGTCAATGCCCACATGGCTCGGTCTGAGACCAGGCCTCATGGGGCTCAGCGGTCTGATAACCAGGCTGTTACTGCTGGCCGCACACAAGAACTGTCGTATGCACCTCAGCACGGTTGGTCAGGTACTGACTTGTGCTGTCCCAGCTTCGTAAAGACAGCCAGGGGTCTATTGGTATCCCCTTATATATGCTGGGAGGCAATTGAACAGTCTTGGGCCTTGGACATTATTGTTGTCTATTAATGTCAGCGTAGTTGCTGATCCCTGTGTTATATAGCATTGCTTTAGTATCATCCTGTGCTTAGTAGTTGATTCCTGGTAGGCCTGTGACTTGTGTGACGTCACGGGATGCGCATGTGTATGCCATACCTCTGCCCCTGTTCTCACTCGGCGTAGACACCAGGCGAAGGACAGCAAGGCACTGGGCTCCAGTTAGATGAGAAGTTAATTACTTCTTACTTAAAGGTGTATGAAATCTCCAAGGTTGTTCGTATGAAAGTAAATGAAAAGTGAGGATTTATTTATAATGACGCTTAGCTAATGGGGCATAGCCCGCTTTTACTGCTAGGTGCCACATCTCACCTCCAACGATTTTACTGGTCTTTGTAAAAACAAATACAGCTTGAGATGGACACTGCAATTACAGAATAAGTTCAGTCGAGTGTATTTCCACATTTCCCAACCCACAAGAACACATCTTGTAGGGGAGAGTCTTGTCACTTCAATGATTGGTATAGTGGTTAGCTGAGTCTCTTATTAATGTACAGTAGTACACCTCCTATTTTTTTCTAGCAGGGAGAGCAGGATTCCAGGGCTACATAAGCACTCATTTGTGTGCTGAGGATTGTTTATTATTTTTTTTTTTCTTTTGAAGTGTGTGTCTAAACACGTAGGGGTTCATACAGCACCAGAGAATACAGGCTGTTAGGTTCGATCTGAGGAAAGGAATTGTCTAATTCTGGGAGTCAATAGCCCTCACAAAGCATCAAGAACCTCTCTTGAGGGTTGTGCTGCCGTGTACAGTGAGTAACCTAGCTGTTTCAAAGTCTGCTATCGTGAGGTTTTATTCCTTTAAGGTATTACACTAGTATGAAATGTGGATATCGTTTATGGTCTCTCAGTACTATGGCTATCTCGGACTACCTTCATGCTTTGGGTATGTTAGGTGTGAGGTGTTCTATATACTTGACAGAGTGGCCTGAAAATTGCTGCATTTGACTTGTTGTTTCGACACTTGTGCTCACTATGGGTGTGTCGTTCTGGAGTCTCATGCTGGCTGGTGCTTGTCTTGGTGTTTTTTCTCAGCATGATACTGTTCATAAAAGCAAATATTGCATTTTCTTGTATTATCTGATATACACAATGTTTTATTATAAGGTACAGTATACCCAAATGGTGCTTTAGTATGTCTTTTATAATATAAGCACAGTTTAATTTGTTTGAAATAAAATTTCTTGTACATAATACTCAAAATTCCAAATGCCAACACAGCTGCTATCTATAATAAGTGAAGAATATTAATATTTATTTATAGTACATTCACAAAAAAGTGTTAAACTATACAAATCTACATTGTATATGGTGAGAAGCTTGAATATATGTGTAAATGTAATTACTGTATTTAAACTGGAATAATATACTGGATTATAATTTTTTAAGAAAAATCATTTGCTATACTTGTGTGGTACAATAAACCTGACTTTTGATATGTTATTCTCTTTACACAGTTGAACCACTTTATATAATGCTACTGTTGTTCATTGAAAAAGGATTATAAATTTTCCTGTTTTCAGCTTAATTATTTTTAAGTATTATTACTGCTATAGATATATATAAAATAATGGTTGTTTGATGTTTCACGTAAAAATTTTTATAGGTAATTATTTGAGGGGAAAACATTTTTCTTTGACGTAGTCTGAAGAGTATTAGAAAAGGAGGAGGAGGAGGGAGGAGGAGTTCCCCTTCACTTGTGATTGTGCACTTTGAGCATTAAGGCAGACTCCGGCACTCTTTACCTTTTTCTTATTTTATCTTAAATATTGGGTCTAAGGCATTTGGACCATCACTGAATGCCAAGGGAATACAGATTTTGGAAAAAGTAAAAACAAGTAGGCTCCCTGACTTAGGATGTTCAATTTATAATGTTTCTACACTTATTAATAATGGTATTTTTCACCCAATTACAGCACTAATGAATGCTGATCTGCAGTTACATTCATTGCAGTATTCAAATAAATTATTTTGAGTTTACCAAATGAACTTGTGCTGGTGTATATTTATTTTCTGCAATACATATAGACTTCAATTTGTTTGGTAGGGATTGGACTAGCTCTGTAGATCAAACATTTAAATTTTTCTTCAAGGCAGAAATCTATAAATATTTTTTCTTGTTTAGTTTTTTTACCAAAGGGTTCATACTGTACTGTGAATAGGAAAGTGAGACAGGGAGGGAGGCAGTCCAAAAATTGCTTCCTACTTCTACATGATGCCTCTTTTTACCACACCACCAATTAACTAGCAAAAGGAAGTGCTGAGCATATGTAAAAAAGTATTGGTTTAAATACAATGCAAAGAGGACTGAGAGTGAATAGGAGATTAGAAGAGAGGAAGACAATCCCACTGCTGACTGTACTGTATAAATGCAAATATTATTCCAAACTGTCATGTTTTGGGAATTACATATTTGTAAACTTTTTTTTTTATTGGAAAGCCCCTTTGTTTGCAAATTATTATTATTATAATCATTATAAAGTGCTAACTTGTTCTGCACAGTATCATGGTCAAGACAAAAATAGCACTTCAAAATTACTAAATATTAGTACGATATGGAGGTAATTAATAAATGGGAGGTGGTGGGGGGGGGGTGATCGGTGGCTCTCCTTGGTTTCAATTTTTAACAGTGTACTGAAGAGGGGTTATGAGGTGTTTTTTTTTTTTTTGTTTGGCCATTTAGAGAGAATGGATCAAAGTAGAATGACTTGGGAGCTATAAATCTGTAGGGAAGGAAGGAGGGGTTGGATTGTCCTTCAGAAAGGTTGGAGGGAGGGGTAAAGGAGGTTTTGTGGGCAAGGGCTGGACTTCTAGCAAGCGTCGTGAGGTATTAGATAGTGCTTGGAGACAAATAGTATTTGGACCTGACGAGCAGTTTAGCCCCGCAGGGCAGGGGAAACCAGTTATTTTATATTAACCAGGACTTGAGTTACTGAAAATGGGAAGATACATGCCTGCACTATAAAGGAGGGGTTGGGATAATTAGCAGTTAGAAGGGATATGTTGTATCTCTTTATACGTATTATACTTCTAAAACTGTTGTGTTCTGGGCACCTCTGCAAAAACAGTGATTATGTACGAGTGACGGTGTCAAAGAGTTGTATGCTGATGAACGTATTTTGTTTTGGGGATTTCTCTCTTTTTGGGTCACCTGCCTCGGTGGAGCTGGCCAAATGTTGAAAAAAAAAACAAAATGTAAGGAATGAATGACCTGTATGTACCCCCCCCCCCCCTTTCTTGGTTTCCCCCCGGGGTGGGTCTACTTCAATAAGGAATGGGAGGTGTAATCAAACTTCATCCAGCGGATGGAACAGGTAGCTATGGTTTCTTGGATCACGGACCCCCATTTTTAAGGTTATGCTCCGCCCGCCACCACACAGATCATTATTTTATTAATGAACAGTGCCTATAACAAAAGGGATGTTTCGAGCCCTACACAGGAAAAGAGTGAGGCAAAAATGGCTAGGAACAGCAGGCGCTACCCCCACCCCAAAATAGTGGGCAGTGAAACTAAATACTGTATGCTTGAATATTGAGTGTAGATATTGCACACATCTCCGCGCTGTCTGTTCCATATTTGGGTGCGATTTTTGCCTCTTTTTAAAAAGGTGTATTTCTGCTAATTCATCTATATTTTGGTATCAACTTTGGTATTACAATTGTATTATTCCGCATTTGTGAGTACCTGTATGTGAATTAGGATGCAAGTAGGCAATAAAATTGTGCAAATAATTAGTGTAAAACTTGCAGTGATGTTATTGTATGGGGGTATTAGGGTTTTGTGGTAACGTACTGTAGGTGACTCAGCTCAAGGTTGGATCAGCCTAAAAACAAGGTGTTTTTGAATCAGGGACCCCGTTTACGAAATTATTTCATTCCAGTAGCTTATGTTCAGTGCAGTACTGACGAATTTGTTCCCATAAGGGAATATTGTGAAATTAGATTAGTCCATTTCAGACCCAATTTTATTATTATAATCAAAGGGGGAAGCGCTAAACCCGGAGGATTATTACAGCGCTGGGGGGGGATGTGGAAGGCATTCGGCTTAATTGGGGAACTGGAGCAACAGATCCAATTCCCTAAATCAAGAGCCCCTCACAACATCAAGGAACCTTCTTGGGGGTTCAGACCCAAAACATACACATACAAATGCACTTACATAAATACACTTACATAATTGGGTCGCATTGGGAGCTGATTGTTAAACGGGGGTCCACCTGTAATCATGGTTCCTCTGTTTTCTGATTCCCTTTATAATATTATATTAACTTTTTGTTTAGCTTATTATATAATGCAAAAGGTTAATGAATTTTTGAGAGCCATCCCCCCCCTTTTTTTTTGTGCCTTAAGTGCTCAAAAACAGAAAAATCTATATTAATATTGAAATTAAAAATAACTAAGTTAGCTAATTTTCCAGTATCACATTTAGAAAAATTAGTGCAACTTTACTTCAGATGTGATAGGGAACACTTTTTGCTCAGAGTAAATTTTTGTATAAAAATATAGGTCGTGTTTTGTCTGTAAATGACCATTTACATTTGGCTAGTAGAGTTTGATGATTTTGGGAATATTTTTTGATTGTTGTATTCATGGTGATGTGGGGAGTAATACAGTGCCTAAGGAATAGAAGTTAATCAAACTTGAGTCAAGGAAAGTAGTATTATTATTTTAATTATTATAATCAAGGGGAAGCGCTAAACCCGGAGGCTTATACAGCGCCTGGGGGGGGGGGGAGTCATTTGTTCAGATTACTTGTTTTTATTGCCAATACTTGTGGAGGCATTTCTGTTCTAGGCTTAATTCGGGGGGAATGGAGCCACAGAATCCAATTCCTAAATCAAGGGAGCCCCCTGCCAACCTAGGAAATGAGAGCTCTAATTCCTTGCATTAGACCCATCACCTAAGGAAGTGGACAAATGCATAGTGCATAATAGTTGTGGTAAGTCACTTATACCATACAGGTGTATTTGGTATGTCAATACCAAAGGCCCCGTGTGCCCCCCCCCCCGGGCCCCCCAGCCCCCCCGGCTACCATCCTTTCCCTTTTACAAGGAATACTTTGTAACAAAAAAACAAGTTTTACAAATAATCTAACTCTTTACCAAAACTAACTTGTCACCAAACCTATTAATTATTTATGGGTCGCATTATATATCAGCATCTCAGGAATGGGAAGCTCATTAAACCCTTAGGGGGTTGCATAGGACTTGGAGAAGGGGAGGCATTCAGGTTGTACAAAGAAG